CATGCCCAGCTAATTTTTTGTATTTTTTTTAGTAGAGACGGGGTTTCACCGTGTTGACCAGGATGGTCTCGATCTCTTGACCTCGTGATCCACCCGCCTCAGCCTCCCACAGTGCTGGGATTACAGGCTTGAGCCACCGCGCCCAGCTATACTTGTTTTTTTATGGAGGAATGAAGGCTGGTATCTCCTACTTAGCCATCTTGATGGCAACACCTCTGTGCATTCTGGAGTGTTTTAATTGTTTAAGATTACAAAGATTCTTTTGACAGTCATTTTTAAAAAGCTCTAATTGAGAATTATTCAGATTGAATACCAAAAGCTCCCAGAATGATACTGAATTTTTAGTCTTCTATTCTTTTTCTCTTTTTTCCTTCTACTTAGAATTACTTTTGGGAAAGTTGCCAATAAAAATTTTTTCAGGAAAGATGCTCTGCAAATCTAAAATAGGTACAAATATACATGTATATATTTATTATAAATATGGATAGGATATGTATGTGTGTTTACAAATCAGAAAAGTGCTTCCAAGCCAAGTTTATACATACACATAATTAGTTTTTCAGACATTTAATAAGCATCTCTGGACACTTGGTATCCCATTAATTTGTATCCGCGTTATAATAGGAGTATAAGAACAGTTGCGTCATAATATCATAGAAAAGCCATCTCCAAACTTTTTTGATCTGTAGCTCAACTGTTAAAGAGTTTTGCCCTGACATCCCAATATATGTATACTACGGAGTTATATGCATGAGCTACAGAACTACAATTAATGTAACAAAGCCTGTGCCAAATAAAATTTCTGAAATGGTGAAAAACATACATTGTGATCTTTCTTCCCACCCTTCAGTGAAGACTACTACCATAACCCTTCATTTAATACAGTGTTTCTTATAATATCCTGATAATGGAATATAACTTTTTCATGTTGTAAACCCCTAAAACCAAGGGTAATTTAGTGGCACATACCATGTTGCCCCTTTATAACCTAAACCTCTTATATGTAGAGATACATATGATATCTTAGTACTTAGGTATACCCAAGGAGTTATGGGGTTTGGGAGAAACAGGAAAAATTATAGCTATTAATCGTTAAAAGGTAAAAGTACGTGTTTAATGACAGGCTAAGAAAGATGTATAGCTGGGTTTCATAATTATATTTCTAGATGACGTGATTTAGTATAGTAATCCAAGAGTTGTGAGACTTGAATTCAGTTTTTGCCAGTTTTGTAAGTTATGTACAATAGAAGGAACAAACTTGGTTTCTAGGCCTGACTCTTATTTACTGGTTGGGTAGCCCTGGAAGATCTGTGTAAGTTGCTTCACCTGTAGTATTAGGTTAATACTTTCCTTGTTTCACAGGGTTGTGAGCTTAAATGTGCCAATAACAAACATACAAATATCAGCTATTCTGTGCACAGCAGTAGGAAATGGCATCATCTTTATGATTTATTGAGCACCTATATTATATATTAACCAGTGTGCTAGGCACATAACATACAGAGATTCAAAGTAAAGAACGTAACACCAAAAAATCATGAGTGCTTATCCTGAGGGATTAGGGATGAGATTCGGAGAGTGATAAAGAGAGACTTTAACATTTACTCTCTATTGTGTATTATTTGTTTAGTGTTACAAAGAGTATGATTCATGACTTGTATAATTTTTAAAGGAGAAAAAAGATTACTACTAATTCGCATTTGTTAAGTGCTTACCATGCACCAAATAGTCTTCTAAAGGTTTCAAACATATGATCCTTAAATAACCCTAGAAGTAGGTTCTTAAATAATTTGTAAGAATGTAAAGGGGACATGAGACCAAAAGGTTTGAAAACTGTTCAGGGCCATACAGTAAGATTTCCATGCAGTGTTTAAGGAGCAGCTGAGATTGAATATCAACATGCAAGGTTGTGTGATCTTCCTGCAGCAAACTGGGTTTAGGACTAGAGAAAGCAGGTGGTATAGGGTTGGGGGTTTTCAGGTTAACGGGTTAGGATAAGAAAGCAAGGAAGTAAAGGATTTGGGGAAAAGATTAAAGGATTCACAATTAAACTTTAGCTGTACAGAAAGGAAATGAGTCTAGAAGAATACTACTGGTTTTATAGAACAGGAAAGAAAAGTGCACAGCCTCTATCACCATAAGGTTAGCTAGTAAATGGAGAGAGAAAGCCTGAAGGTTAAGGAAATAAGTAAGTGGTTTGGTTAAACTGTAGAAATGTAAGTGGTGTTATCCCTCATTTTACAGGTCAGTTCTCATTTTATAAGCCAGGAATCTATGGCTTGTAACACCTGCCTTGCCCAGGAGCAGTCCAGCAAATGTTTAAGTCTCTAAATGCTGAGTCAACAAGTCCTCTTTCCACTCTATATAGTGCAGGTGGCTAACTATAAACACTAAATGGTGTATAAAAGCAAAGTATTTTTATTATTTAAGATTCTTGAAAGAAAATGCTTTTAAAAATATGCATTTTTAATCTCTTTGATCTATACAGATTTCTAAAATATTGGAAGAATTTGATGTTGAAGAACAATCAAGTACCATGTTAGAACATCGCTTTCCCAACATTAAGGTTATAGAATCTGGAGTAAAGCAACTGAAGAGTGAAGACCACGTAAGACAATTGTTTTCTTAATGACATTTTTCATTGTTGAATCTTGATGAGGTTTTGCCTGCCTTCTTTTCACTCCAGCTCTACCACCAGCACTATTTAAGTTTTTAACATGCAAAGGTTAGTGACATTGATTTCCAGTATTAAAGAAAAAATACAGATTTTGTAAGTTTACTGGAACTATATAATTAGATTTGGGATTTTAGTCTTCACATTTCAAATTACATTAATGTTTATAAAGTGTCCACTGTGTTCTGGGTACTACATTAGGTGCCAGGATACAGTAGGGGTAATACGATGTGTCTGCTCCTAGTAACTGTCCATGTCAGAGGGAATATGAACATGCATACTATAATTATATTGACATGTAAAAAATACAGTCACTGAAATACTATCAAAGCTCTGATATCAGGGATTTAGGAAGACTTTACAGAGAGAGTAAAATGAGCTAGGTATTAACAGATGAGTAAATTAAGTTCCCCAGGTAGAAAGGGGCATTCCAGGAAGAGGAGATTGAATGTTCAATGACCCAAAGAAAGGAAAAGTAATATGAAGAATAGAAATGTCAAGGGGATTAGGATATGGTTAAGTAAAGGAGATTGGCAATCAAGGCTAGAAGATAAGTAAGTAAGATCCTGAAGGGTTTTTCATGTCATACTATTTTTGTTTTATATTTGGGAGAAATTGTAAGGTGATTTTAAGAGGGGGGCATCAATGATAAAATTGATCTTTTTTTAAGGAAGATACATCTGATAGCAGTGTTGGAAATAAACTGAGGTAGAACAAGTGGCTGGTAGCCAACAACCAAATTAGAAGGTGGATATGATGGTCGAAAATTACGTAAAGGGTCAGGAAATTATGTACAGGCTCACACCTGTAATCCTAGCACTTTGGGGGGGCCAAGGCAGGCAGATTACCTTAACCTAGAAGTTCGACACTAGCCTAGGCTATAATTTGGGTTATAAATGTCTCATTGGGTATTAAGTGCTATGATACAATTTGCCAAGGTTTGTAAATCAAACACTTGGCACAAACAACCCCTAAATCATTTGAACAAAGTAGGACAACATAGCAAAATCTCATCTCTACAAAAAAAAAAAAGTACAAATTTAACCAGGCTTGGTGGCATGCACTTGTAGTCCCAGCTACTTGGGAGGCTGAGGTGGGAAGATCACCTGAGCGTGGGAGTTCAAGGCTGCATGTAGCTGTGATTTTGCCACTGCACTCCAGCCTGGACAACAGAGTAAGACCCTGTCTCAAAAAGAATAATAATAGGCCAGGCGCGGTGGCTCAAGCCTGTAATCCCAGCACTTTGGGAGGCCGAGGCGGGTGGATCACGAGGTCAAGAGATCGAGACCATCCTGGTCAACATGGTGAAACCCCGTCTCTACTAAAAATACAAAAAATTAGCTGGGCATGGTGGCGCGTGCCTGTAATCCCAGCTACTCAGGAGGCTGAGGCAGGAGAATTGCCTGAACCCAGGAGGCGGAGCTTGTGGTGAGCCGAGATCGCGCCATTGCACTCCAGCCTGGGTAACATGAGTGAAACTCCGTCTCAAAAAAAAAAAAAAAAAAAAAAAAATACATTTTAAAAAGTTGATTTAAAAAAATGATACAGGGCCTGAACTGAGACAGGGACAATGTAGTTGTAAAAAGTATGCCAGATTTGACTGATTTCTGCTATAAATTCAGCAGGACTCAATAACCCCTTACATGAGAATGAAGAAGGCAGTCTCAGGAAAGGATGTTGTTAGATGATTTATAGTATCATCACATGAACTTTAGGTAGGTTGAGAAGTAGGTTTGTAGTTGCTTCTATAAGGCAGTTCTAATTTATAAATTCTAACTCACAGAGATGTGTTTTATCTCCTTTAGGGATAAAACATATATACCACATTTGAAACACAAGTAATTTGAGAAAAAAAAATAAGTAAAAGTACTGAGTTTTATTAGAAAAAAATAAAACATCTGAATCCCCAAACTAGAAACTATTATTAGATGAGTTCCTAATACTTACAGCAGTATTACATATTCCAAGTAATATCTTTGTCAATTTGTTTTGTAAATTAAGGCGGGCTTTCAAATACATGAAATGGATTATGAAGGAATTTGTATGTTAGGGCATTTGAATAAAACAGAGTGCCTCCTATTACCATTTGAAAACTACCTCACATGCAGTGCATGTCTGCCTTCTATTATCCATTGTCCTTTGCATTTTTTTAACAGTTTATTATAATTTATTTAACACTCAAGGAAGTTTGCAGTCATCAGTAGTTCTAGTGCAATTTCAGGTGCAGTTGGGAATTTGGGAATCTCAGTGGAGCTGTTAGTGTAGCAAACCTTGTATGTAAAATACATGCATACTTTTGATAGCACATATGAAAATATCTCTCCAAAATTGACCTCATTGGTTTCATTGTCAGCAAATTGATCTGGACCACTCAATATAACTTTTATCATATTGACTTTTATTACTCAATATGAACTGATATTAATGCATGTTCTCTTTTTACAGTAAATTCATGGTCAGCAGGTGATATCAATTTGATATACATGGCATCAGGGCCTTCACAGCCACTATAGGTTTTCTCCTATCCATCCATTTTGTTCTTATGAAATTCTGCTTTGCTTCCCCAGGAACTTCAGTATCCTGGTGAGGTGAGGATGCAGAGTGTGTCACTCGCCTCTGTCTGGACAAAGTGTCCTTTACATTTTTTAGTGAATTAGAGATAGTATGTTTTACTTTCACGTCTCCTGCCAAAAATTTAGCAGTAGCTAATGAAAAGAGGTTTTGTGTTGTGTTTTCTTTCATTGTTTGATGTATTTAATGGAATTCATACAGTGCATTCTAATGGAAGACGGCAATCAGCAGCTAAATGCAAATTATTTTTTAAGTTTAGTCAGTACCTGTCATTAAGGTTTTTCTTGTCGGATAAAATTCTAATGAGATTATCTGAAAGAAATGTATAAAATTTCTATATAGATTATGCTATGCTGGATTACTGATTTTATGTATTTGTTATGCAACCGAAAAGTTAATTTGGGTTATAAATGTCTCATTGGGTATTAAGTGCTATGATACAATTTGCCAGGGTTTATAAATCAAATACTTGGCACAAACATTAACCCCCCTAAATCATTCGAACAAAGTTGAGCATCTCTCATAGTAGCATGCATTTATGTTTAAATGTTTTCTAAAGGCTACTATTTATATGTAGTTTTTCACTCATTATTAAGGAACAAAAGCAATAGATCTCTGATATGTAGTTTTAGACCCATTTATGATATTGAAAATTAATATAAATTTAAAGCCAATACATGCTATGATTAAAGATTAACATTTTTTTTTACTTATAGTAAGATATACCCCCAAAACATTTGTTTGCTAGTAAAGTCATTATTTGTACTTAAGAATATAAATACTGGTTGGTTTTTTCTTAGGACTTCTAGTCTTTTTAGATTAAGAAGACACACTGTAATTGCTTCTACCACACACTGCTTTTCTGTACTCATAATAGATAGGAAGGTATGATATGATTAGAATTACTAGGTCTTATTACAGTAAATTCCCTTGAGATCAGAAATCTTCAAGGCTGGTCACAGGTATAATGAGAATGCTTAATTTTAAAATTTCTTGAAATTTGTTTTTAACCTGGGATCAACTACCTTTTCAACCAACATGGATTCCTGGAGTTTAATTCAAAACTTTGTATGAATGTACCTTTTTATTCAAGGGGAGAAAGACTAGTTTCCAAAAGATGCTCAGAATGGTTCATGAGCTTAAAATGATTAAGAATAACTGGATTAGAGAATGTATTCTCATGCCTAGTTTTGTAATTGCTGTAACAAGGATTGAATGCCACCATGAAGAACCTTAATAAATTATGTTTTGTGTTTGCCTTATTGAATTTTTAATTTCAAGTGAATTGTATCTATGTTGATTATGTGTCCCTTTTTTTTCATTGTTTGATGTATTTACAGTGCATTATAACAGAAGATGACAATCAGCATATCTATAAGAAACTCTGTCTGTGTGCTGGAGCTAAACCAAAGTTGATATGTGAAGGAAATCCTTATGTATTAGGAATCCGTGATACAGACAGTGCTCAGGTAACATTTTGGGTTGGGCCATGAGAAGGAAAATAAACGACTTTCTACATTCGAATTAATGTGTTCCACTTACAGGTCCTAAACTATAATGAGGCAGAAGGGAAATTTTTGTTTCATGACCAATAAACCTCAGAGGGGTTATGTTTTATTCCTGCCAATTATTTTATTTTTAGTCGATATAATTTTTTGTTTTTAAGTTCATGCTGATGTGTTATCAGTGTGAGATATCCCAGATATAATGACTGTGCTGAATATTAAAACTTACATTACACACACATTCATTACTCTGCTTTGGGAATATGTGATATGCCACCTAAATAATGTAACAATTTTTTTCCAAAAAGGTAAAGCATATTCAAAATTTACTGATCTTATTCTCCAGCCAAAAAAAAAAAAAAAAA